GAAATTTCCGAAAATACGCAATGCTATTGGTTATTTTTGTTATTACCAAATCGGGTGGGGTGTACATAGATGCATCCTAAACTTGGATACTACCGATACATGTACATGTATTGATAATCCTGCATTACCGTTATAGGAATTCCATACATGAATTTCGTATGTGTTCATACGTATCGAGGTTGATCAAAAAAGTTGGTTTCTTCCAAAAATTATAAATTCATATTTCTCATAATAAACTTCATTATTACATAGGCTTAATACATTTTGAAAAGAAATAATAACATGTGTTCTATTCTACAAATCAATTTTCTTTGAATAGATTATCATCGCAATATCAAAATACATCTTATTCTCAAGTACAGAGACCTCCCAGAATATTGTGGACACTTTTTAAAATACAATAACGCAAAACCAATAAAAAAGCAAGATTTATGATTCTAAGCTAATAGAATCATTGAAACATATTGTACATTATATCAAAATTGCAAGTGATTTCGATAACTAGTTCAAAATATATATAAAATATAAAAAATAAAATTTAGTATCAAACTGAAAATTTACGTGAAAAAAATATTCTATTTTATAAATATGCAAATATCTTCATACCCAGTAAACCAAATTGAATAATTTTATATCATCAGATTCACCAAGTCAAGGTGCATCTAATAATATCAAAATCATATAATTTGGATAACTAGATGCAGAGATATAATGTCTCAAAAATATCATACAAAAATCAGAGTAAAAAAATATTTTAAAGAAAATTATTTTTGCAAATATTTCTGCATCCAGTAGAGCCAATTGGATGATTTTGATATCACTAAATTTACATAAACAAGACAAACCTGAATTGAATGTGAAGATATTCACAAAAAACTATTTTCTTCAAAAAATTTATCCCAGTTTGGTACATTATCTTTAAGACATGATATCTCCATATCTAGTAATCCAAATTGAATGATTTTGATATCATTAGATATGTCTTAACTTGGAGAAATTGTAGATAAAATTTTATTTAATTTGATTTCTAGATGTGAAGTTATTTGTATCTTTGTAGAATTTTTTTTGCTTAAATTTTCAGTTTGATACTAAATTTTATTTTTTATATTTATATATATATTTTTGAACTAGATATTGAAATCACTTGCAATTTTGATATAATGTACAATATGTTTCAATAATTCTATTAGTTTAGAATTATAAATCTTGCTTTTTTATTGGTTTTTGCATTATTATATTTTAAAAAGTGTTCACAATATTCTGGAAGGTCTCTGTATATAATATTGTGCAAACAAAGTTTAAATATTTTGTTAATTACTAGAAATACTTGATTAAACCATATATATTGTAAAATCTAAAGTCATCATATGTTTGTATTTTATAAAATCTTTACTAAGAAGTAAATACAAATTTAATCCGTGAATATGATCGAATAGATCTTTTCACGGATTAAATTTTGTATTTACTTCTTAGTAAAGATTTTATAAAATACAAACATATGATGACTTTAGATTTTATGCACCATATCAAATTTGCTCGCTAATTAATTTTAAGCTATCATTAAAGCAAATTTATAATTCAACCGTTTTTCATCTGCAACAAAACCAATACAAACTTGTCATTTTTTTCCACTTGCAAAATACAAACCAAATTTGCTCATTTTTGCCAATAAAGAGAAACTTCTTTTTTTTAATTTTCTCAATTTTTTAATCGGCCAAAATTTAACTGATCAGTTTGCTCGAGGAGTCCTGCATAAGCGTAAGAAAATAATGCAGTATTCTGCAAAATCCAATTAAAGTTTGCATGGTTTGATATACTGAATGAATTGAGATTTTGCAAACCAAAATAACCAACGCAAAATTAATGGTGGGGCTTTTCATACAGTGCATACATAGGATTAGAAAACTCATATAACTTGAAAAAATACAGACCTGCAACTCTTGATTTTTGTTGAAGCCCTCACAACTAGCGAACCAAGCTGACAGCAAAATACCGAAGCAACTGAGTTGGAATTTTTTACATCGACTAGCCAGCTCGAGTCAATGAACCTTCTTTAGCATTTATTTATAGAAGTACCCTAGTTATGGCAAAAATGATCTGATCACGTGCTGCTGGTGGTACAAACCAATAAAATGCGTAAATTTTTTATCAGCCCGACAAAACAAATCCGACACAAGAAAATGAAAAAAGCAAATATGTAAAAAATACGAAAAACAGATGCCTAAATTTAGCTTGGTTGACTAAAAAAATGTCGGGAAGGCAATTTTACATACAATCTTGGCTCCGGCCCTAATCCTAATCCTAACCTTTAAATTAACTTTAAAAATAACTTCTATTAGCGTAGAAATTTTCCATACACAAATATCACATAATCCGACCATTTTTTCGCCATGGCTAGGCTACCACTGGAATATAATTTTTAGTCCTGTCCAATCCACTGAAATGCAAAGTACATGTACATGTAGTTATAAGATGCGTAATGAATTTTCTTTATCAATACACGAATATTAAGCAAGAATTAAATATTCTAAAAGCCATTCATATATTATTAATAAATACGCATTAAACTTTATCAGATTGAACTTTAAATATTCCATGTTTTTTTAATTACGTGTAGCTAAATATTTTATTTCACTGATAATGGTTAGTAAAGTTACTATTCTTTTTCTGTATTAGTTACTATAGCAAAAAATTTACAGGAAAAAGAATTATTTTTTAAAATTTACCAAAGTACACTTCAACCCTCTTAACTATAGCTTCTTTATTTCTTGTCGCTTCCCAAAGCGCAACATTCCAATCCTCTTGATCAACCAAATCAATAATAAAGCCATCGAAAGTTTTATAAGCTGCGGGGGTCAAAGTGATCTTGAACCTTTTCTCAGCTAGACGTCGAAATTCCTCTAGGGTGCCGTTTTGAGGGAAAAGTAGCGCACGGCGAGCAACGGGAAATATACAGGTGATTAAGAGCTGTAGATTTATATTATTTTGATATGATAATTATATTGCGATCTAAAATGGGTAAAAAAGTCTTGTACTACGTACATTTTGCCTTTTTTCAATATAACTGTCAATACTATTATCGTAGTCGCTAATTCCAAGTTTTTCAGAGGATAAACCGAGCGTCGCTTGCGACGTACTATTTTCTTTTTTCCATCCGTTAGAAAAACTGTTGCATTCCTGAACATTGTTTCGTGGCATTACTCGCTCAGTATATGACTGCACGCTGTTTCGTGTTTCTTCTGGTTCTATAGGTTTCATGTCTACTTCAGATATGGTTAAAAGAAAAACAAACAATACTAATACAACCGGCAAATTGCAATATATTTTAATTAGCAAATTTTTAATTTATTTGACTCCATTGTCATTATCATTAACCGATACGTAATTGCTACTATTAAAGTAACTTTGCATATAAACTAAAACAAGTTATCATTCAGCTAGTCAAACAGTCTAATGCTAATCTCAATATGTTGGACGTTATCGTTTCTGGTAAGGGATAACGATCTGCAACATCTTTTATTAACAAGATTTATCCGTGCATTATTGCTACATGTAAATATCGAAACTTTATAATTCGCTAAATTACTCTTATATAATTCAAGAGTAAAGCATAATACATGTACAGTCAGCACGGAAAGTAACGGCGGTGATACTGACTGCTGAATTTTTCGCCAGAAAGCGATCGACCTACCTTGTGCAACATTTTTCACATGTTGCACATCATTCTTTATTTGATTTGTAACCGAAATGTAAACAAAAAACGATTTTTATTACCTTTAAAAATGTCTGACAACCCGGTAAATTTCAATCATGAGACCGTAGAGATTTTGGCGAAATGGCTGGCGTAATGCTAGAGAAATTTTCGCAAAAAACTGGTATTCTACTTCGCTTCGTAAAAATGGACAAATTCGTTGTCCTGGTCGTCCAAATAAAGTTTCGCCTGTTATACGCCGCCACATCGGTCAAATTGTAAATTCAAATCATTTCCTTACGGCGGCTGAAATCAAAGCGCGGCTCGAAGAAACACACACAGGATTCGAAATAGCTGTGCAAACTGTCCGTGACGAGCTTTCTAGGCTCGGTTATGTTGCTTCCTTGCCAAAACGCGTTCCTCTTCTTACCCCTCAAGCCAAAGAAGACCGATTTCAATGGGCAGGCAATCATCTTGATTATAACTGGCGCGAGGTTGTATTTTCCGACGAAACAACTCTGCAATTAACCCGAAACACTTGCCTAGCGTGGTCGCGTGAAAAAACTGTTGTACCAATGGTAAAACACCCCGTTTAAACTCCATATGTGGAGAGCGATTTGTGCACGTGGAAAAGTTGGGATGTGCATCTGTACCGGTACCGCGAAATTCTTAATAATCAATGCAAATAAAGTTGTCTGGCAAAATCTATTACTCTATGTTTCATTAATATAGTTTCAGTTTTGACTTTGACAAATTTGTTTGATAGTGATCTGTTCAGTATTGAAAAGCAACTTTATAACAAAGTAAACAAAATATCATGCAATTTTTTTCTTGCCCTATTTCTAAAACAATGAAAAAAAACAACTGGAATATCTTAAGCATATACCATTCTCGACAATTTCATAATTTTTATGATATTACAAATTATGATTGTGATGTATCATAATTTTGTTCAATGATATTCAAATTTAGTATAAAAGTCATGAATATCACTTTCTTTTTGATCAATAATTAAAATAATTATTAATGTTAACAAATTATATTCTTGTATACTTTAACTTTTATTTTTACTTTTATTTCTATACTTTATTTTCTTTTGTATTTTCACTCTCAAATTAATCTCTTATATTTTATCCCTAACAAAAACATTTTTAATTCAAATTTTATTATATTTATCCAATTATTCATATTAATTTTATTTTTCATTTTTACCTTATTTTTATTATCATTTTTATGTTTATATTTAATATTATTCTTTCTTATAATTTATCTTGTATTATTCAATTTTTCTTAAGAATCTTTCTTTTTATTATAACCTTATAATTTTTCTTATCTTTAATCACTAATATTCATATTAATTTTTTTGTATTTTTTTTTCTCTTTTATAATTTTTTATTTATTTTTCAATCTTTGTTCTTTTTTAGTATTTTTTAATATTATCTATAAATATTAATATATTATTAATCATATAAATTACAAAAAAATTATTGTAAATATATAAAAATAGAGTCTTTTATTATTAGAAATTCATGTTTTAATATAATAATAATAACAAAGTTCTTACTTGTAATATTATATTTATAAATATATTATTATTTTTGTAATTATTTTTAAATCTTGACTCCAAGTAATAGATACATCTTCACTTTAAATAAGTTATTGATTTTATTATTTTTTTTTATTTTTTTAGATTATATTAATAAGTTTTGTTATTTTATTTTATTTTATTTTATTTTATTTTATATTAATATAGTTATTTTCTTTATTGATATTAATAAGTATAATTTTATTTTATATTAATATAAATATTTTTTTATTGATAATAATAAGTTCAATTTTATTTTATATTAATATAATTATTTTCTTTATTAATAATTAATAAGTTCAATTTTATTTTATTTTAATAAGTTTTATTATTTTCTTTAATAATTTTATTAATTTATTTTAATTTATTATATTCTGTTACTATTTTTAACTTTAATATTAAATTAGTTTGTATATAAACTATTATAAAAGATTTTTAGAATCTTTAATAAATTTTATTAATTATAAATTATTCAGTCTTTATTTTTTACTATTATATTACTTTATTAATTTATTAATTCTAATAATTTTTAAATTAGTAAGAATTTTCTTGCTTTTAGTAATTATTAATATTTGTTTAATATATATTTTTTATAATTATTTATATATACAGTTAATTATAAATAAGTTTTTTATTATATTTATATATAAATAAAAAAGCAAAGTAAATTGATTATAAAAAATATAACTATAAATAAATATAAATATAGAAAAATTTAATTATATATTATGTATATAAATAAATTATAAAAAAATTCTTTTATATAATATTTCAAAGTTTTAAATAAAATATTTCATATAATTATTATATTTAAATAGATATAATTATTATAAATAATATATAATTATATATATTAAAAAACTTAATATATTATATAGTATTTTTAAAATTATTATTTATTATATTTAAAATCTTTTTTATATATATACTTTTAATATATTATATAATATCATTTATTATATTTATATATTTTAATTTTAGATAAATATCTAATCAAATAAATAAATCAAGTATATAATAATATTATATTCTTTTTAATACTTGATTAAAAAATTTATTTTGTGATGAATAAGTTGGAAATATCAAATTATTATATTTATTATAATAATTAATTTATTAAAAAACTTTTTGCAATAAAAATAAAAGCTAAACTGAATTATTTATAATTAAAAAGATTCTTTAAATATTTTAAAGACTTTTTATAGTAACTTATATGTAAATTAATTTTTTTATAATAAGAGAAAGAAAGAGATATTCAAAAAATAAATAAAATAGTATTATTATTATAACAAGAATTTAATTATTATAATAAAATTCAGTTTGTTTAACAAGTAATTAATTATATTTACAAGTATAACAAAACTTATTGATATAATTCATTTAGAAAAACAAAATTATAAGAAAACAAAGTGATTTAACAGAGCTTAATACAACTTATACAAAGTAAATAAATTTATTCAAAGAAAATTAATAGTTTATTTAGAGTAAAAAATATTTATTACTTGTAATTTTTCACAAAATTTGAAGTTTAATTATAAAATAAAAAAAATAATAATATACAGACAAACATTTCTAAATGCACTCTCTATAAGTGCATACACTCTCTAAATACACAGCATGGCTGGATTCCAGCTCATAAGAGCCCTATATATTTTGTCCTCTATAAATGCACACCCTCTCTAAATGCACGCCCTCTCTAAATGCACGCTTTACTATGGTTCCAAAGAGGGTGCATTTAGGGAGGTTTGTCTGTATTTACAAAAAATATTACTATTATATATAAAAACTTTGTTAATTTTTTTATTTAATTAAAGTATAATTAAAACATATCTTTTTAATAACTTAAAGATATTTTTATATATAATTTTGAATTATTATACTAATTAATTTTTGAATTATTATACTATTTTAATTATTATATTAATTTTTTTAAAATTATTAATTTATATTGATAATTTTTTTTGAAATAATATATTTAATTATTCAAATTATTATTCTCTTTTTGATAATCACTATTATTATATATATTAATTATTATTTATTATTCAAGTAATTATTAAAATAATTATTATTCTCTTAATAATTACTATTATTATATATATTAATATTAAAAAATAATGAGATATTTATAATACAAAAAAAGATAATGTTCATTTGTAATAAAATATTTCTAAAATTGACTTTTAATATAAGACTAACTATAAAAAAATTATTATATATATCATTATAAAAAGATATTTATATAGAATTTAGAAAATAAAATTATGAAATTAGAGAATTTAGTATTACTTTAATAATAGTATTTAAATTATTAATTAATATAATAATTAGTCAGAAATTATAAATATTTTAAGAATAATTTAATAAAAAATTTATTTGAAATATCAAATTATTATTATTTTAATAAATATTTTAAATGAAAAAACTTGATCAAGAAATTACTTTTTTTGATAATTAAATATTATACTAATATTATATAAAATAAGATTTGTTTATAATTATTATAAGTTACCAAAAATATTAGATCAAAATATCAATTATAATTAAATTAGTTTCATTAACAAATAATTATTTAGCCAAAAGAAATTATCAAAATATATATTATATAAAATAACTTATACAAAGACTTGCTAAAGCAAAATTAACTATTTAATCATATATTAATTATATTCAATTATTATAATATAATTAAATAATTTAATCGATTATAATTATATAATAATAATTTTATTATTTATAATTATAAGTACAAGATATTCAAAAAATACTTCAAAAATATATTTTTTTGTAATTTTTCTTTTCTTTATTTATTAAAAATATAAATTATTATATTTGAAAATAATATTTTTATAAATTAAATTGAATTGAATTTTTGTTTGAATTTGAATTTAATTTAAAATTCAAATTGAACTTGAATTAAATTTTGATTTAAATTCAAAAGTTTTTGAATTGAATTTAAATCTGATTTAAGTTTGATTTGAAATTAACATATAATATTATATACTAATTAATAGCTCTGAATTTGAGCTATAAATTCATTTATTAATATATTTATAATGTTTACTTAGAGATAACTAATTATTTTAATTCTTATATTTATTTTATTAATTATATGGTGCGCCTCACCTAGACCCGACAATAAAATAGGGTAACTTTAAAACCTATCAGCACTTTATAAAGAGAAAAACTAAATCAGTAATATTGTTCTTTGAGATAAGCTCTATCAAATTACAGGTCAGATTTTTTAAAAAATTCTTGTATAAAAAGTTATAAGCACTTAAACTTGGTTACTTTTTATATGTTTTGTCAAAAATTAAAACATTATCTTATCACGTGAATTTGATTTTATTGGCTAGCATTAACCTAATTTAGGCTAAAAAATAATGCCAGCCTGAATTATCCTAATTTGTAACACATTAAGTCTGGGGTGTACATTATATAGTAGAAGAGTATATTATATGAAACGCGTCTAAAAATCACGTTTTATAAAAAATGCCGTCACTTACTAAATGACAGAAAGATACACGTCAAAAATCACGCAAAAAGAGCAAATTTTGTACTAGCAAAAGTGATGAAGAAATAGAAGAAGCTTTGGAATTTGAATGGACAAATGTTGACTTGGAAAATTTTGAACAAGTTGGAAAAAAATTGTTAAATGAAGTATTATTATGGGATAAGAATACAAAGATATTTTTGAGTAACTACAATGGCACATCATGGACAACTGCTTGAAGAAAGCAAAAAGTACAAGAAGAAATGAAAGAACATGCAAAACAATACAAAAAGCTGAATTCTTATCTTGTGTCTTCAGGAAAACTTGTGCTGGAGAATGAAGATCTTACATTATCTTCAGAAAAGAAAGTTGAAAATGAAGCACAATCAGATAGTGCACTAGTAATAAAGCAATGGATCAGTGAACTCAATATGATATGCAATTTAACAAAATCAGCAACATCGAATGCCAAAGTATTTACTTACGATTATGTGCGCCTGTTAAGTATTCGAAAATACTTGCAATATTTGTTGGATGGAAAGAAAAAAATGAGTGCAAGTCTTCAAATTGCTCAGGAAATGTGAAATAAAGGAGCATATATGTCATGATGTATAAGAAACTGGAGTGATCATTTTCTCAAAATGGGTAAACTGTCAATACATCAACAAGGCAAACATGCCAAAATCAAGAGTTATCTAGATGATGAAGATTTTACAAAAATATGCAAAAAGTGGTTGCGTCAACAAAAACCAGAAGAACGAAATCCATACCAATTAAAGACATATATTGAGGAAGTTGTTTTTCCAAAAAAAATTGGTTATATTCAAAAGGATACTATTGGAAAAGAAACATGTCACCGATATATGCATCTGTGGGGCTTTAAATATGATGAGTTGAGAAAAGGAGTATTTTATGATGGTCATGAGCGACCGGATGTTGTGAAATATAGAAAAGAATGGTTGAAAAAAATGTTCACATATAAGAAATTAATGAAGGATTTTGACGGTGATGATCTTGATCAGGTTGTAGAGCCAGTTCTTAATTCAAGTGAAAAAGAATATGTTATAGTTACACATAATGAATGCCATTTTTATTCAAATGATGGTTGAAAAACTGTATGGATATTAGATGAGGAAAATGTTCTCCGGCCAAAGCATATAGGAAGATCAATTATGGTATCAGACTTTCTTTGCCCATGCCATGGTTCTTTGCGACTAACTGAAGAAGAAATATAACATTATCCACAAATTCAACATCAGGAAGTGCGTGTCTTAAGATCTGTCCAAGCGAATGGTTACTGGAAGTCAGAACATATGGTAGATCAACTTCACAACTGAACAATACCGATATTTGAAATTTTGCATCCCGGGTGCATTGGCATTTTCTGTTTTGACCAATCAACTAATCATAATGCCATGGCAGAAGATGCGTTGGTAGCATCAAAAATGAATTTGTCATCTGGAGGTCAACAATCACAAATACGTGATGGATGACTCATTACAACAATTGGCCAAACGATTATTCAACAGATGGTTTTTGATGAGAATCACCCAGATACAAAGTTAAGAGATAAGCCAAAAGGAATCAAAAAAATTCTTTTGGAGCGAGGATTGTGAAGGGAAGAGTTGAAATTATCATGTGAAAAGTGTATAAAGCGGGAGGAGGATTCAGAGAGGCGTAATTGCTGTGCAAGAAGAATAATGATGTTGCAGCCTGATTTTGTTGATCAAAAGTCAGTATTGGAGGAGACTATAGAAAAAATGGGTCATATTGTCAAAAAATACCCAAAGTTTCACTATAAGTGTAACTTCATAGAGAGATATTGGGGATATGCCAAGCGGGAAACAAGAAAAAGATGCTGTTATACATATATAGATTTGTTACAAACAGTGCCAGAAGTTCTAAACTCTGTTTCTATAACTGTAATACGTAAGTTTGCCTGCAAATCATGGTGATATATGGATACGTACTATAGAGACTTAGAAGGCAGAGTGGCGAAATGGGCAGTAAAGAAGTTCAAGTCTCACTGACGACTTCCGGATAACATAGAGAAATATATAGAACAAGAATATTAATAAACCACAAATAATGCACTTAGTTATGTTTTCTTGGTCATTCTTTCCCAAACGTAATTAAGTACATGAAAAAAACTTCATAACGGAATGGCTTAAATTTTTTCATCATAAAATCACATGACATATACTGATTTTTATTGGTAGATCGATCGTGAGAAACCTTTCAGAAAAATTGAAACAATATCACATGATTGTTGGATCTAAGTGGGGTGCACCATATTATAATAATTTGTAACTTTATTCAGATCAGATCAGATTCAGATTAGATTTGATCTGAAAATTATAATTAGTATTAATACTGAAAATTACTGAAAATTCACTGAAAGTTTATTGAAAGTAAATTAATATTGATTGAAAAAAGACTTTAGTCTTTATAAAATCTATTAAAAGTAAAAACTTATTATTAATTTGTTATTATTATACTATATTATATAATTAACTCTTATTGAAATATTCCAATACCTAGTTTTTAATTAATAAGTTTTATTTTATTAAGAAACTTGTATTTTGAATCTAAGTAAAGTTTTTCAGATATAATTGTATATATATAAAGTACCTTATTTCAAATTATAACTCCTATTTCTGGCTATAATTTTACTTAAATTTATGTTTTGTTTTCTATTGAGAATTAAACTTTAATTTGTAATTAAGAGTAGTGCTCCAATCAGATTGTGTCAAATCCGTAATATGACCTGAAATGCACACTTTAGGTTGGTGTCAAGCCCAATCCAAACTATTTCAGATCAGGCTAAATTATTATTTTTCATTCAATATTGTTTCGAAATGAATGGAAATATGTTATTTTAGTTATGTCTATATAAAGTTCTATTTCTTAATAATAAACATACAATATAATTGTTGTGTTCCAGATTGACAAATGATATACATGTAATACCAAATCAAAATTTGTGTTAGATTATAACACTAATCTAGTTCTAGATTTAAATTTCATAATCCTATTTGGGACACAACATAGTTATAAGGAAAGTTGTAGCTTTGGTTTCTGACTACAATCAGTATATAACATATATAATCAACTCTTTCTATTGTCAACATGATGGAACCAGGCATTTTTGTTGATATAAGAGTTAATAACTCAAAGGTTAGAGTTAATATCAATACATTAGTAAAGTGAAATTTTTTCTGCAATAAATGTTGATAATAAAGAGGTATTGATATTAAAGAGATTGGTAATAGAGAGGGTTGACTGTATACCGAAAATTGAACTCGAACTAAAGTTCAAGTTCGAGTTTGAACTCAAATTGTCAGGTTTGAGTTTGAGTTCGGTTTGATTTCGAACCAAAATGAACTTTGGAATCCTATTTCAAATGTAATGACAGCTGATTGTCATTGTGTGTTTCTTTTATTTTGAATGGTTTAATTGTACTGATGGTATTAGTTGCTGCTTTTACTTCATAAATTATCAATGCAGTACATACGTACGTAGTTTGATTTATTGATCATCACATTACCATTTCTTTTAACGAAGAGCAGCGCACTTTTTTGATGTTGTCTTGATTTGTTGTAGTGTTTCATGTGGATTATTAAAATCGAAATCTGTCAAAGAAAAAAGAAATCAATTAAAACTAAGCTTAAATGTAAATTTACCTTCATTCGGGATATACAAACTAACACTTTTAAAACCTAAATATTCGATATAAAAAAGGACCAGCATCACAGGAATTAGAATTGATTTTATAGTAAAGATTCGACTGGTGTAAACTGCATTTGGGTGGATTTTTTGTTTTATATTTATGCTTAGTTGCGATTTTATCTCCTCATCAAATTCTTCTAATCTTTGTTTTTCTAGTTCAAGATACTCAATAATTTCTTCTTCTGTTTTATAATATTCTAAAGAGCTGTAGCACTGATAGTGCAAAGGATTCAGTATGCTGTGTGCTGGATAGCGGATAGAATCAATAAAGCCGCAAACTTTCATAGCAGTTGGTCGAATTTCTGGAATAAGATCCAAACATTTTTCAATAATACATTTGCAACATCCGGGAGCATTATTTGATACCTTAGGTCGTATCCTCTATAAATGTCTAATACGAGATTCCTATCATGACTCCGCTCACCTGGTACATAACCATCCGAAACTATAATTATCTGTCGTTTGAGTTTATGTTTTCCATTTAGCACCTCTGGACTAATATAAGCAAGTACTCTATAAATTTATCTATTAATTTTTAAATTAACTGGGACGGTAAGTCCAAATCAGCAATTCGAGCAAAAATACGATTCAAAAATATATTTACAGTGTGAAAGTCACGGTGCACAAATCCCACTTGGTGAATTCTACGCGGATTATCGAAAATATTCTAATTATTTGTTCCAATTCAATTCTTTATCGTTATACGTACTTAGGAATGTATTGCGAAGGTCACAATTTGATTGGTCAGGACACTTGTCCCAACCAATCAAATTGCTGGATTTACGTCCAAGCGACAACACTGAGTAACGGTAACGGTAACGGTAACAAATATTAACGTTAATACGTACGTATTATCGTTACAATAAACATGTGCATTGTAAAAATCGAACTTTTAACAAAGGGACTACGAGTCGACGCCAAGAACGATTATGCCACGTAAAATATACGTAAGTAGATATTTAGAAGTTTGACAAAAAATAATTCAACTTAATCACAGACAAATCATCACTAAGTGAAACATAAAAATTTACAGCAGTCGAGTAAGAATTTGAGCTGTAATTATTTTCCTTTATTATAATTATTAGTTCGCTTTAAATTTAATATAAAGTATGAATTTTTGTTAACGTTGAAAATAAATTTCAAATTCAAATTAATCATAAAGTTTTAAAAATATTTTAGTTCCGATCTCTTACCAATAACTTCAACCGTTAAAGAACCACATTTTTCGGCTATGGTGCTCATCTTTAATGGGATTTTGGTCAGTAAACATTACGTATTTATCAGTGAAGATTCAGCATGTTATTTCCATTTTTCAATTCTTTCTATTTTGTGCAATCCTCTAGCAAAATCTAATCGGTATTTCTTACCAAAAAGTTTGTAAACAGGATTTTTTAAAATGTAAATTAGTCTGCCTTTAATATGTTCTATGTCAACTGCACTTTACAAGAAATGACATTTGCTTTTAACGTTGAATATTTGTCTACAAAATCCTAAACTAAAATATATTTATATTTGTTAATGGGTATTTACAATATGAAATACTTTTCTCTTTCTATATTTTTTGTTAAGCAATTTAGACAAAAGGCAATCTCACCTAAAAATTCATATTCCTCTTTGTCCACTGTAATAATTTTTTTAATACTTGTCTGTAGCGGCCAGTAAAGATTTGGAAATTTCATTTATGTACTTGCCGCCAAACCTGAAGCAAAAAAGATACAAAACAAAAAAACTTGATAAACCGGAGGATCCCGTCCATTGAAACCAACATTCTTTCTTAATCAAGAAATCTGATTTATAAAGTGGAGTTTTCTTTTTGATACAAGTTGTCTTTTAAATCATCATAATGACTACTTTACAATGATGAGGTGATATCTGTTTGGTACACAAATGGAAGGAACGAGTCTTTTTTGAGTAACGGAACAATTGTGAATTGGAATTTAGCCTATACAGTATACATGTATAACTATGTACATGTACATTTACTTGATAGGTAAATTAGAAATTAAAGTTACGCACATTTGTGTAATTTTTGCATTTTAGAAGAAATTGTTTGATATGTGTAAGTATGACTACGAGCCAGCCACTTGAATTAGAAAAAGAATTAAAAATGAAGAAACAATGGGTAATAACTGATTCACAACTGCGCCGCTGATTCAATTATAAAATACTGTATAAGTAGGGTGAGTCAAAAAAATCTAATCTTACTGATTTTCTTCGCTTCCATTCATTCATTCAATCTTATATACTGTAAACTCGCTAATCCACATCCGCCTACAAAGTACATTCAAGCACTTTTCGTCATGAAACATCTTACGTTGATACTTTTTTTCACCATTGTAACCTTCAACAGTTTCGCTTTTGCTACGACGCCCTTAAAATGGAAAAGAGGGGAGGTACCTCTTCTTGCGAATAGAATTGACCAAGCATTCCCCAACAATAGCAGCCACAGTTCTTTGAAAGCAAGGGCTCCAACTTGCTCAATAGCCGGATATCACCTATGCCCAGACAGTTCGGGATGTTGTAGCAGCGACGAAACTTGCATACCAGACGGATCTAGTTACACTTGTAGCGGTAGCTGTAACGCCAGTTCTGTATATTGCGGAAACGGGTATTGCTGTAGGGCGGGCCAAGTTTGCAGCGGCGTTGGATTTTGTAAATTAGCATCATCATCATCCTCAGTGATACTAGTATCATCATCAATAAAGACATCAGTGGCATCAACAGTGACAGCAACAGGAACATTGCCATTATCACCATCAACAAAGACATCATATTCATCATTGGCAATAACGACAACGGCAAGAACGACCACTTCGAATGGATTATCTCTCCCAACAATCCCATCAGGATTTATCAGCGGCCCAGCCATAGCAAACAGCCCAGCCATGTCAATAACAATAATCCTGGTTGTTCTAGTTTCTCTAAATTTAATATAATATTTATATTTCAAAATTTGTATATTTACGCAAATGTCATATTATACTACTATTCTTAAATCAACAATATTATCATTAAACATATAACACATTTTTATCGAATCTACGTTTGTTGGTTCGAGTCACTTTTACTAATATCTTAATTCATGTTTTTATTAAATAGATCCGTAAAAGTTTGTTTTATTAGTGATTGAATCTGTGACTTCCATTATCCGACCCAACTTTTTAATAGCCTATCCGACCATCTAGCCATTTTTCAATAAGCTATCCGTTCGGATGTTGGGTTGATAGATTGAAACACTGTGTTTATAACGTTCGATGATATAGTTATGAATAACTGTGCACGAAGAGAATTCTTATATCTGTTCAAGGCAGATGAATAAGTTTATCGTTTCAACATTTATAGAGCGTTAATCTTTGAATTTGTTGCCAATTCTTTCATGTTAAATCATTGTCCGAAAAAGTTTTTAAGCTTGGCAATAAAAATTGCATCAGTTGCAACGGCCAAGATGTTCGCCTTGATTTTTAATTGATTTAACGAATTTTTACTTAGAAATTTTATTTTTTTTACTGTGTAAATAAAAGTTACAAGATTTGCAAAGTATGCTTCAATCACTTTCCGCTCATATCAAGCTTTGCTATTATACTTTATCATTATAAAAGTAAAAGGACGAACCTTTGTCTGTTTTATAAGAATGAAAGCGATGTCATTAAAATTTTTATCTTTTTATATAGTTCATTTTCGATCTTTGGCGATAATAATTCACGAATTTGTCAAAGCAAATCAAAAGTTTTGATTATTGTTGAAAGGGTGTAATTCTAGATTTCCATTTTCACAATTTAGTGTTATTATCTAATAATTTAATTTTGCATTTATTTTGATATCGATATAACGATAACGATAAACCAAATGTAATTATAGATTGATCATCATCGTTCATTTACGTATAAATTCACGCACTCTCGCTCTGAACGCCATGTCTAATTTATTGAGGCGCTTCTGAACGATAAACAAAAAATCATCTAGCCTGTTTTACTGTGTCATTTATTGTGCATGTAAGAACATTGGATGAAAACGTTCTAGAATTTTATCTCCGTCAAAATTATTCATTTTAAACCTCGAAACCTCTAATAATTTGACAAAAGATTATTTTAACCATTTTTTGTGAAATTGAGTAATTTCATTTAGTAAATTTCAATTTTTTTCTAAGATAAATCCCAATTTGGACCATTTTCTACTCTGACGCTATGAAATCTACTTACAAACTTTCATTAAAAACTGACTCAAACTTTATCGATATTTAAGATCCCGAAGGTCAAATCTCTGCTAGTAAATAAATACTCAAATTGATGCTATTCGGACTTTCAAGGTCTTGAATCTTGAGCAGATTTTTATAAAAATTGGTATTTACTAATTGTAAATTTTGAATTAAATCACTAAATTTCACAAAAATGGTTAAAATAATCTTTTGTCAAATTATTTTTAAAAAATTCTGTACTAAAGGTTTCGAGGTTTAAATGAATACATGTATTATCCGAGATAATAATTGTACATGTACATGTACAATTATAACGGGGGTAATCCATCAATTGATACAAACACAAATGTACGTAACGGTAATACGTAACGACAAAACAAGGAATCGATGATTAAATAAATATCTATGAACGTGAAAGAATAAGTTTCGAGTAAGACTGATAATTTATTAAATTATCAGTCTTACCAGTGTTTAAAATTGACCTGCGCAGTCTGCGCACCGCAGATTGGAAACTGGTTATGCAGATTTTTTTTAAAGTAATTTGCGGGTTGCGCAGATAAAAAATTCATATTTTAATCTTAAATTCAATAATATGAGGCCACTAGAATATATGACTATAAGTATAGAAACATTAATACTTTAATTTTTAGTTAGTAACTCCTATTAGCTAATTACCCTTTTTAAATACACTCTCCCAACCTCTCTTTTATCTTTGATAGAATTGTTTAACAATTTCTGTCAAAATTGACACAGACTTAGATACTTATTTTTGCACTGACCAATTTTTTAGTCTATTTCTCTCTCCCAACTTATATGACTCTCTTATCAAAAGTGAAGAAATCCTTTATTTAAAGTAACTATAACAGTATCATCCTAAAAATTCCTGAAAACAAAGAATAATATAAATGCTAATCATCTACTTCTTTTAAAGTTAATAGAACTTCTACATTGAATATTTTATGTTTATTAAAATTTTACATTACAAATTTTAAAACACATATCTCAATATCTAATAATCTAATTATTGATATCCAGTGATTAGATTTGAACAAAAATAATGCCATTTGATTTATCTAGTCAAGACAAATAAAATGATAGTATTTTGTTCAAATTGAATTACTAGATATTAAGATATTATATTAAATTTATTTTTTTGATATTAACAAAAATAAAATGATTACTTTAAGATGTAAGATTTTGATGTCTAGTAATCAGATTTGAGTGAAAATATTATCATTTGACTTATTTAATCAAGATGAATTGAATGATAGTATTTGTATTCAAATTTGATTACTAAATATTGAGATATTATATTCTAAAGGAACTGTTTTATTATATTTAGAGTGTGAAAGTTTATGAACATAAAACACTTCTAATGTAGAAATTATATCAACTTTAAAAGGCATAAATGAATAACATTTGTATTATTCTTTGTTTTCAGAAATTTTTAGAATAATACATATGATTGATATAAAAAGTTAAAGATATTTAGATACTTATAAATATTATTGTATTATAACAAATTTTAAATAGACTTAGTCACCTATTTGATTTTTTGAAATTTTTATTATTTATACTTATATAATTATATAATAATAAGACTACTTTTTTAATAAAATAATATCAATGAAAAAATATTAAAATATATAATTTCAAGATATTATATTTATAATTCTTTTTTAATTTGAGAAAATTTTGGTACACTATAAGAATATTTTCTTATATGAAAAGTATTAAGATAAATTTATCAATTATTGTAAATAAATTATATCAATTGAGATAGTTTTCAGTTTTAATTTTAATAAAGCTTATTTTTTATTTATTAAATAGTAAAAAAATCTAAAGAGCTATAATACAAAACAGAAATATTTAAATACATAATTAATATTTAACAAATTACAAATAAATTAATAATAAAATAGAGAGGAATTAGTTCTAAATAATAATAAAAAGTAATTAATATAAATTTAAAAATAATAAATAAAAAAGAAAAGAATGAATAAAAAGAAAAGAAATTAAAAATAAGATGTATCTAAATTAATAATGTAATCTACATTTTATATCTAATCTATTTGGTGGAAATATTAAGAAGTATTAAATGTAGATTTATATTAATTTCTAACATGTTATGCAAAAAAATGATAAAAATAACATGAAAATGATGGATATGATACAAGAAATTACAATATATGAAAATTGTTACATATATACAGAGATTTTTCAGAATATTGTGAATACTTTTTAAAATACAATAATACAAAAACTATAAAAAAGCAAGATTTATGATTCTAAGCTAATAGAATTATTGAAATATATTGTATATTATATCAAAATTTCAAGTGATTTCAATAACTAGTTCAAAAAATATATATAAATATATATAAAATAAAATTTAGTATCAAACTGAAATTTATGTGAAAAAATATTATTTTACAAAAATGCAAATAACTTCATATCTAGCAAATCAAATTAAATAAAAATTTATTCACAAATTCTTCAGGATAATAAACATCTAATGATATCAAAATTATTTAATTCAGATTACTAGATATAAAGATATCACATCTCAAAGATAACATATCAAACTGTAATAAATTTTTTGAAGAAAATAGTTTTTTGTGAATAAATTCGCATTTAATTGACCAAATTAGATAATTTTGATATCATCAGATTTGTCTTGTTTATATGAATCTAGTGATATCAAAATCATCCAATTTGGTTTACTGAATGCAGAGATATTTGCAAAAATGTTTTTCTTTAAAATTTTCTTTAAAATATTTTTTTACCCTGATTTTTGTACAGTATTTTTGAGACATTATATCTCTGCATCTAGTAATTCAAATTATATAATTTTGATATCATTAGATACACCTTGACTTGGTGAATCTGGTGATATAAAATTATTTAATTTGGTTTACTGAATATAAAGATATTGGTATATTTATAAAATAGAATAATTTTTTTTCACGTAAATTTTTGGTTTAATACTAAATTATATTTTTTATATTTATATATATATTTTTTGAACTAGTTATTAAAATTACTTGCAATTTTTATATAATGTACAATAATTTTATTAGCTTAGAATCATAAATCTTGCTTTTTTATTAGTTTTTGTATTATTATATTTTAAAAAGTGTTTATAATATTCTGGAAGGTCTCTGTACTTATGAATTTATAATTTTTTTATTTATATTATAATTTATCTATATATTTTTTATTAAAATAATATTATAATAAAGATATATATCTTTTGAAACTTATTATTTATAGCTTGATAATTTCATTTTGAATTTTTTTAATAATCTTTGCAAATTTACAAATTATTTTTTTTAGCATATATAATTTCTAACTGATATTATTATTTTTATATTAGAAATAATAATATTAAAGATAATAATATTAAAAATAATAATAATATTGCTACGGTTACTTTAAATGAAGGGTTTCTTCACTATTAGTAAAAGAGTCATATGAGTTGGGAGAGAGGAAT